AAATGGTTTTCTCATTTCCATAAAGGTGAAATGTCGACAAACCTCTATCTGGACATCCGTCAACTTCCCAAACGGATGAAATGTCGACAATATTCATGCACTTGTGCTCCCAGACCCACCATGGCCCATGGAAGAGATGAGGAAGCGATATTGGAGCTCGGGTCAACAAATTTTAAAGGAAGATTCGGAATGAGAAGGATCACTGAGAAACTTGTGCCTCAGGTTCTGACTGACCAGGCAAAAGAGCGTGGAGTGGAAACATGCTGTCCTTGGAAAGAACAGCTGCAAACCAGCCCAGACTTTTTCCCCCAAGGTCATTACTGGTGAGGAGACATACATCATCGTCTCCTCGCCCCCCAAAAGCTCATCAAGTGAAATCAAAGATCAAGACCATGCTCACTTGGTTTTTGATGTGAGGGTGATAGTACATCTGAAGCTTGTTTCACCAGGTCAGACTGTCAATCAAACTTTCTATTTAGTGTTCTGAAAAGACTGTAACTGTGTACCACAAAAAGGCCTGATTTGTGGTAGACAGGGGACTGGTTTTGCCACCACAACAGTGCACCTGCTCACTCAGCCATCTCAGGGTACCAGGTTTTGGAAAAAAACAAAACAAACAAAAAACAGCATGCCTCTCTTGCACCATGCACCTTACTCACCTGGCCTCTCTCCGTGTGACTTTTTGTTTCCAAGAATGAACAGGGACATAAAAGGACAGCGATTTGACAACATAAAAAATGTGAAGAAAAAAAATGAGGGAGGTGCTGTCAGCCATCCAAACAGATGAGCTCGAAAAATGTTTCCAAGAATGGAATCGCAGATTTGGCAAATGTGTTAAATGTAATGGAGAGTACTTCGGAGGTGATAAGGTTGTTTTTGTTTACAAAAAAAATTAGCCCACAGAGAAGCAGCACACAAGCCTGTGTGATCATGAGGTGATGAAGGGATCAGGCAGCAGATACCAAGAACAAAAACCATCATTTTGTGACCACCTTCCCCACATAAACGCTGAAGACAAATGTGTGCATAAGTAAGTGTGGTGAAGAAGGCTGGTGGTGCCCGGCTATCGAGACCTATAGCATCTGGAGACTTAAAGGCTTGAAAGTAAACAAGCAGCCATCTAGCCCAGAAGCAACAAAGCCCACATGGAAGCAGCACACCAACATGTGTGATCATGAAGGGCCG